TATGACATACAACTATCTACTGGGGCTTTGGGGAAAAAAAAGGAGGAGGATTGGCAATAGATGTTAGCTCAGAGCCGGTCTTCCTCAGCAAAAAGAGGAAGATTAGCATGGATGTTAGCTCAGGGCTGATCTTCCTCACAAAAAAATAAAATAAAATAAAATATACTCCAAATATAAAAATAATACCTTTAAATACAAAACTGAAACACATTCCACAAAATCTAAGACCTAATGGAGAGGAAGATCTGGCCTTGAAGATATATGTATGACTGTTCTTTCTGTTGTTTCAGATAGACACTGCATTCGTTGGTGATGTTTTGTCACCAAGCTTCCATAGGAAATATTTATTTGCAAGGTCTAGAATCACCAAAGCTGCCTCTTTAAGTACTTTAAACAAATCCTGAGTTGGTCTCTTTGAACTTGAAAAACATTCTATGCTCTTTTTTTTTTCTTTTTACCTTGGAGCAAACTCCCTATGTCAGATGAAAGATAAAGAAGTGGTAATCAGAGCTTTTCAAGCAATGTGAGGCCAGAAGCAGGGGGAGTGTGGTTGAAGAGCACGAGTTCTGCCCCCTAGACATTGGAAGGGAACCTTGGTGCCCTCCCACTCTCTTTGGCTGGAGAGGGGAGGCCATGAGACCCTCCTCTAGGCTGGATTCCCTCTTTCCCTTCACATATTCTTACAGATGGACCTAATATTCAGTTGCTTTTTCCTGGCTGAAACTTATTACACTATTTGGATTCATCTTTCTGTTTCTCCATACAGTCATGCCCTGCATAACGACATTTTAATCGACGGCAGACCACATGTACAATGGTGGTTCCATAAGATTGGTACCATAGAGCCTAGGTGCATAGTAGGCTATACCGTCTAGGTTTGTGTAAGTACACTCTGTGATGTTCACACAATGACAAAATTGCCTAACGACGCATTTCTCAGAATGGATCCCCATTGTTTAGCGACGCATCACTGTACATCCCTAGGTAGTGATTTCCAGGTAAACAGCCAGGAAGCAATCAGGTGCTCTGGAACACCTGTCCGCATGGTAAAAATAATAAACTAAAAAGGTATTTAGAGTCTATGGAGATGTTGACCTTTATCTTGTGTTCCGGACATTCATTTTTTACTTATTTGCTATTATTATTTTTAGATGTAAAGTTTTTAAGTCTAACATGAAATTAGAGTCATCTAATTTCACTGTCATCTAGTGAGTAGTGACATTTAGGTTATAACCCCCTGGACCAACAATTGATATAATTGAGAGAAAAAATAATATGCTTTAACTTAATTCTATTTTAATTTTCTAATCATTTTAATTTTTATTAGTTTCAATAAAGAATATAGCATAGAATTCAAAGTGTTTAAAGAAGGTAAAATGGAAACAATTTAGTAACTTCCTAACTGATTCTAAACTCCTTTTAGTCACTGTTCAGTCTCACTGACTTTAACCTCAGGCTTGAAGTGAGTTAACCATTTCTGGGTCTCTAAGTCGTGTTGGTGTTAAATGTTTCCCGGCTGCTTTTCCCTACTGGCCTCCTGTCATTACCAACGTGTGTTTTATCCTCCCTATTTCTTATGCCACAAATTTGGAAAAGAGAGTTTATAAGTTTATAGTCATGTAAGTATAGCTCCTGTTAGCAATCCCTTTTTCTAATTAAAAAGGTATAATTTTCCAGATTTTAAAGGAAAGCAGACATTTCCCTTCTTTCATGAGGCATTTAGCTCCCAAACTAACTTATTCATGTAGGCTTTCTGGAAAATGTTCCTTTGCTGACCAATACTTTTTACAACCTGCTTTTGATAGAGTTTAGGGTTATTTAAAAATAGATAGGGCCGGCCCTGTGGCTTGGTGGTTAAGTGCGCGCACTGCAATGCTGGTGGCCCGGGTTCGGATCCCGGGTGCGCATAGAGGCACCACTTCTCCGTCCATCCTGAGGCCGAGTCCCACATACAGCAACTAGAAGGATGTGCAGCTATGACATACAACTATCTACTGGGGCTTTGGGGGGAAAAAATTAAATAAATAAAATCTTTAAAAAAAATAAAATAAAATAAAATAAAATAAATAAAAATAGATAAATTTTTTTCTGAAGCTATTTATAAACAAGCAAGTCTGTTTTCCACAATGGCTTAACATGATTTAAAACATATATAAAAGTCAATTTTACCACTATTTCAGTTTTAGGTAAAATATGTAAGTAATTTGGACAGGCCAAAAAAATTGAAGTTTATTATTACTTAAACAGCTAGTAAATACCTAGCAGCCATCTTTCTCTTGGAAAAGAAAACTTAACACAAATGGAAAATCTAAATTTATAGAGAATATTAATGATGTGCATGTACCTAAGAGCCTTAAAATCTTTAAATATAGTGTCAAAATTGGCTTTTTTTGCACTTGAGAGATTAGTAAATTCTTTTTAATATTTTAATGCTGTAATTCTTTTTTTTTTTATTGGTTTATAACATTGTAAAAATTTCAGGTGTACATCATTGTACTTCTATTTCTGCATAGATTACATCATGTTCACCACCAAAATACTAATTACAACCCATCACCACACACATGTACCGAATTATCCCTTTCACCCTCCTCCCTCCCCCCTTCCCCTCTGGTAACCACCAATCCAATCTCTGTCCCTATGTGTTTGTTTATTGTTGTTATTATCTACTACTTAATGAAGGAAATCATAAGGTATTTGACCTTCTCCCTCTGACTTATTTCACTTTGCATTATACCCTCAATGTCCATCCGTGTTGTCACAAATGGCTGGATTTCATCGTTTCTTATGGCTGAGTAGTATTCCATTGTGTATATATACCACATCTTCTTTATCCATTCGTCCCTTGATGGGCACTTAGGTTGCTTCCAAGTCTTGGCTATTGTGAATAACGCTGCAATGAACACAGGGGTGCATGTACCTTTGCAAATTGGTGTTTTCAAGTTCTTTGGATAAATACCCAACAGTGGAATAGCTGGATCATATGGTAGTTCTGTTCTATCCTTGCTTTTTTGAGGAATCTCCATACTGTTTTCCATAGTGGCTGCACCAGTTTGCACTCCCACCAGCAGTGTATGAGAGTTCCCTTCTCTCCACATCCTCTCCAACACATGTTGTTTCCTGTCTTGTTAATTATAGCCATTCTGACGGGCGTGAGGTGATATCTCATTGTAGTTTTGATTTGCATTTCCCTGATAGTTAGTGATTTTGAACATCTTTTCATGTGTCTGTTGGCCATCTGTATATCTTCTTTGGAGAAATGTCTGTTCAGGTCTTTTGCCCATTTTTTAATTGGGTTGGTAGTTTTTTTGTTGTTGAGATGCATGAGTTCTTTATATATTTTGGAGATTAAGCCCTTATCAGAAGTATGGTTTGCAAATATCTTCTCCCAATTGTTAGGTTGTCTTCTTTTTAATATTTTAATTTTTTGTTAAATTTGCTCTGGGTCACTTGTGGCATGATTTTAGATTTAATTTTTTGTCTACACTTTCCGCTCAAAATATTTTCTTCCATTAATTGGTATTTTAATTCACTGTAACTCCAAATGGAAATTTTTATGAATTATCTATGAATTTACCTATTCATATGTAATTTAGTTTTTTATTTAATTGAGTTTTAGGATTCCAATTAGAAAAGTTGAATTACTTTCTTTTCATTTCAGGTTACAGTTGGACAATGGTGAAAGAGATGGAATATATATGTAATGAGCTAAATCAGCCTGTAACATTTCCTGTCAGAGCAGCATTGGTCAGGCAGTCTTGTTCTCAGTTACACTGGCTGTTAAAGAAGTCAAATAGGTATGTATAAGTTTAACAGTATAGTGTGTGCATGTGAGTGTATGTGAGAGACAGAGACAGAAAGGGGAGGAAACCTGATTATGTAAAGACAGTGTGTGTGAGAGAAAGATAGAGACAGAGAGAACAAACACTGGTTCTGTAAACGCACAGACTGCCTCACTAGAATGAAGCTCCTCAATGAACCTTAACTCACTTAACATTGTGTCTTTCACCTCTATTCCTCACAAAAGTTTTTGCACATAGTAGACGCCCAGTAAATGTGTCGTATTTTTCATTATGTTATACATTCACCGAAAGCTATAAGTGGATAAAATAGTTTCCCTTTGAATTCTATCATAATTTCAGAAGTCTTTTCCATATAAAATTTTATTATTTTAATATGTAATAAAAATTAGTTGGACCACCCATTAAATTTTAAAATGTTATACAGGTACAGATATTGAAACAGTTTTGATACTGTCTTTTTAATAGACTAGTCAATGGAACAGCAGGGAAAGTCCAGAAATAAACCCAATTCTATCATGGAACTTAGTATCGGAAAAAGCTAGCATTTCATTGGAGCCCAAGTTCAATAATTTGTGTTGGGACAACAGGCCAACTATGTAGGAAAAACAAAGCTGGCACCTTCCTTAGTCCTTCCTCCAAAATCAGTTCCACATAAATTGAAGACTTGAACATCAAACATAAATGCATAAAGAAAAAACATGATTTTTTATATAGTTGCAGAATGGAGAAGACCTTTCTTAGTAAGGCACAAAACTTAGAAGCTATAAAAGGAAAGTTAGATACATTTGAATACAAAAAAATGGAAAGATTCTGGTAAAAATATCCTGAAGACATATGTCAGACAGATACAAAGAATTCTAACAAATAAAGAATTTTCACAAATCATCCAGAAAAAGACCCAGTTTGATAATTCACTGTATCGTAGAGAGTAAGGAAAGCTGACACGTGTACATTAAAGTATCTATATTCCTGCAGATATTGAATTTTTACTAAATGCCTTTTCTGTTTCTATGAAAATAACCGTATTTTTCTCCCTATATCTATTAATAACATAGATTACATTAATATTTTGTAATATTGACCCATCCTCACATTTCCAGAATAAACCCCACTTGATCATGATTTATCATTCTTTTAATGTGCTCCTAAATTTTATTGCTAACATTTTAGTTAGTATTTTCTGCATTTGAAAGTGAGATTGGGGACCAGTGTGGTGGCATAGTGGTTAAGTTCGTGCGCTCTGCTTCAGCGGCCCGGGGTTCACAGGTTCAGATCCCGGGTGCAGACCTAAGCACCGCTCATCAAGCCATGCTATGGCAGCATCCCTCTCTACAAAGTAGAGAAAGATGGGCACAGATATTAGCTCAGGGCTAATCTTTCTCAGCAAAAAGAGGAGGATTGACTAGGGATGTTAGCTCAGGGCAGATCTTCCTCAAAAAAAAGAAAGTGAGATTGGTCTGAATTTTTTTTTCCTTGAGAAAGAATGTATCAATGTCATGTACATTTCATTACAAAACTAGGAACCTGGCCTTCTTTTTATGCGTTCTGGGATGTTAAAAATAACATTGAAATGGCCTGTACCTGAGTTTTGGTAAACTCAGCAGTGAAACCATCTAAACCTAGTGCCTTGGGGAAAGCTTAACTCATACAATCTTTTCTATTTCTTATATGGTAAGTGGTCTGTTTTGATTTTCCATTTCTTGAGGAGTCAATTTTGGTATATTGTATTTCCCCAGAAAATTGTTCATCTCATTCAGGTTTTAAAATTTATTTACACACAGATGATTAAAATAGTTTCTTATTCTTTCAGTTTCTTCTGTGTCTTTAAAATAATTTCCTTATTTTGTTATTTGAGCTTTTCCCCTTGTTTCTTGATTAGATAATGATTTATCTCTCTCTTTTTTTTAAGAACCAGCTCTTGGATTTATTTATTTTCCTAGTTTATGATTCATTCATTTCTGCCTTTTATCTTTCAAAATTTTGCTTTTTATAGTTTCTTCTAATTTCTTGAGTTGGATGCTCAACTTATTTTCGCTTTTATATTTATTAATATAAGTATATATGACTGTAATTTTATCTGACCACTGCTTTAGCTGTATCTCATTGTTTCTTATGTGTAGGTTTTCATCACTGTTAATTCATTAATATTCTGCAATTGTGGCTTTTTCTCCTTTGTCTCAAAAGGTGTTCTAAGAGAAATTTTTTTGGGCATCTAGGTGGTAGAATTATTTTTTTATTTTGGCTTTGTTAGTAGTTTTCAAGCTTTATAGTATTGTAATCAGATAATGTCTATACTATTTCTACTTTGTAGACTTTAGGTTGTATTGATGGCTTAATATATGGATATTTGTATGAGTTCATGTATTGTTTGAGGATATAGTTTGGCTGTTATAGTAGAAAGCTACATTAACAATAGCTTAAATAAGTCTGTTTCTCTCTCACGTAACTGGGAAAGCATAAATAGTCCAGGGCTGATTCAGTGCCTCCACAGTGTCAGGGATCCAGAATCCTTCTCTCTTGGTGCCCTGCTTTTCTTAGGATATTGACCTCAGAATATGGTCAGATTTGATTACTGCTTTGTCTGAGTTTCAGTTGGTAGGAAGGAAGGAAAGAAGAGAAGCTCAGGTCCTGCCCCTCTCTTTTAAGGGCATGACTTAGAAGTTGCACACACTCACTGGCTGTAACTTGGTCATGTGCCAGTACCTGTCTGCAGGTGAAGCTGCGCAATGTAGGTGTTATTCTGTACAATCTTGTGCCTAGAATGCAAGGGATTGTCATGTAAGAAAGAAAGGAGAATGGCTATTGGAGTGAAACTACTAGTTTCTGTGACACATTAACATACATTATTAGTTATGTTAAGTCTTTTATGCCTTACTTTTTGTTTGCTTTTAAAAATATTTTTAATTTAATTCTTTGAATAAGTAGTACATTCACATGGTTCAAAAACAAAAGAACAGAGTTATACTGTGAAAAGCCTCTCTCCCATCCACCCAGTCCTGCCCAACCTCACTGACCACAGTGGTTAGTTTCTTATACAACCACAGTCAGTAGTTTCCTTATGCATGTGAGAGTGAATACAAATACAGATTCTTATTTTCTCCTCCTTTTTAAAACAAAAGGTAGCATATTATATATCTTGCTTCTGTTCTTTGCTTTTTTTTTTTTTAAACTTAGCAATACATCTTGGAGCTCTTTCTAAGGTTCCTCATTTTTCTTTTCTGGGTGTATCATATTTATGTATGTATTATAATTTATTTAACCAGCCTCCTGTTGATGGACATAAAGGATATTTCTAATCTTTGATATTACAAACAACGCTATAATGAATAACCTTATGAGTGTGACATTTTGCATGTATGCAAATATATGTCATCTTTAATTTTTTGGCCACTTTCTCTCTTATGGACTAAGAGAGTTAAAGTCTCCAACTATTAAAATACTTTTGTCTGTTTCCTCTTATACCTTCATAGTTTTTGCTTATTAAGTGTTCATGATATATTATTTGGTGCATATTCACATCTGTTTTATCTTCATTAAAAATTATACTTTTATTATTAAAAGGTCTCCTTCTTGGTCTCATTTAATGATTTTTTTTTTACCCAAATTCACATCATCTTCCTTTTCGTTTGTCTTGAATAACTGCCTTATCTTTTCTTTGAAAAATAGACTTAGAGAGTTTTATTTTTCATTGACTTTTTTAAGGGTGATTTATTGTCATTTTAAAAAAATAGTTTTAAACCTATAAAAAAGTTGCAAAAAATTGCTACAGCTCCTTTACCTGATTCGCAAATTGTTAACATTTCCTGCATTTATCTATTCTCTCTCTCTCTTTCTGTTTGTATTTTTTCTGGCATAATGCCTCATTATCCTTAAGTACTCCTGTGTGTACCTCCCCAGACAAGGGCACTCTTCTGTATTACTACTATGCAGCCTCCCTGTCAGGAAACCAGCATTGAGGCAACACTACCATACAGTCCACAGGCCCCATTCACATTTTACCAACCATTCCAGCAATGCTTTTTTATTTCCTGGTGGTCCAGGAAACTCTCCAAGAATGTGCATTGCATTTAGTTGTCATGTCTCATCAGTCTCCTTCTATCTGGAATAGTTCCTCAGTCTTTCTCTCTCGGGTACTTGACAGGCTTAAAGACTCCAGGCCTTTTATTATGAAAGATGTCCTCAATCTGAGCCAGTTCTATATTTCCTCATGACAGATCTTAGGTCCTGCATTCTTGACAAGTTCATCATTTACTTTCCCTGTCCCAATTCTCAAATCAGCCACTTCTTTAAGGATCCCTGCTTGATTATAGTGGCAGATGGTATTTAGATAGCAAAACCTGAAGTTTAATCATTGCTCCTAGGGTGTCATTGCTTCTGGCACCTCTCAATGGGGACAGAGCTGGGAAATATGTGTGTGTGAGTATGTGTGATTATGGTCTGTGTATGTATGTATGTATATACAAACCACACCTATACAGACATACACACACACCTGCCTACATATACATATATAACCATTTCTATATCTGTGTGTGTGTGTGTGTGTGTGTGTATATATATTTATTTTTGTGTGTGTGAGGAAGATCAGCCCTGAGCTAACATCCATGCTAATCCTCCTCTTTTTGCTGAGGAAGACCGGCTCTGAGCTAACATCTATTGCCAATCCTCCTCCTTTTTTTTTCCCCAAAGCCCCAGTAGATAGTTGTATGTCATAGTTGCACATCCTTCTAGTTGCTGTATGTGGGACGCAGCCCCAGCGTGGCCGGAGAAGTGGTGCGTCGGTGCGCGCCCAGGATCCGAACCCCGGCCACCAGTAGCAGAGCACGCGCACTTAACCTCTAAGCTACGGGGCCGGCCCTATATTTTTTTTTTTTTAACAACCCATGAGTTCATACTGATACTTCCGATTTCAACCCAACCCCTCAGAGTTCTTTCTAGCCTTCTCCCTTTCCATGTTGTTAAATTCTTTATCATATGCTTAGATACCTGGCTCCCATTAATCTAATTAGCAGTCTTTTTCTTTTAAAAGAAGAGTTTAACTTATTTACATTTGTTTATAACCCAGATATGTTTCGTCTTGTTTCTGCTATTTTTTAAAAACTAGTATACTTGCTATTTTTATAGCTTTAAGAAACATTTCACTGTAGCTGCTTTCTTTGTTTTGTATTTTTAATTCTGATAATTTGTTGTTAGTTATTTTCCTCTTGGTTATTTATTACTGCTACTTCATAAGATATGCTTAATCTGCTTCTTCACAAGTGCTCATTAACTTCTATGCGCAGTAATAAAATTAGCGTATTTCTTCCCCCTTCTCCCCTAATTTTAGTTGACCATACTCTCTCTCTCAAAGTTCAACTTTGTACTTCATACTGAATGATAGATTGGCTGGCTGTAAATTCTTGGCTCATAGTGCCTTTCCTTGAGGATTTTGAAGGCATCGCTCCTCTGCTTTCCACTGTGAGCGTTGACATGGAAAAGTGTGAAGCCAGCCTGATGATTTTTGCACCCTTAAAGTGACTTGACTCAGGGGGCGATGGGAGGAACTGAATGTAGAAAGGGCTCTTTGTCTTTGAGGCTCAGTAATTTTACTAGAATATGTCTCAATATGGACCATTCTGTACCAGTTTTTTCAGGGTTGTGGTGTTCTTTTCAATATATAGATTCAAATGTTCTCCTTTCCTGACGTATTTCTGTGAATTATATTTTTAAATACTTGTTCTATTGCATTTGTAACACTGTTTTCTCTTTCAAGGACTTCAGTTATGAATATGTAGATCTCCTTTGCCTATCTTTGGTATCTATTATTTTCTCTTTAGTCTTTCTTTTCTTTTTATTTATTTGCATTTTATTTTACTTGGTTTTATGATTTGTCTTCTCTGTACCTTACAATATTTTCAACAATATTTATTCTCCCTTGTGTACCTTCAGCTTTCACCTTATTTCTGTAATAGTATTAATTTTCCACTTTTTTCCTAAGAGCTGCCAATTAGTGTTTCGTCTTCTCCTTTCTGTGGTCTTCAGCCTCTTCCATGAGCTCCTATCTCTGCTTTGTGCTCTTTCTTTAGAGAGGTAATGGTGTCATTTAAAAATGTTTGGTCGTGGCTTTCATCTGCTTTGTGGCATTCTTGTTTTTTTTTTTTTTAAGTTTTACATCTGTTTCAGCTGACAGTTTTGACAGTTTTTTAAAGATGAGGTTTTTATTTCTCCGTTTGCCATTTGTTTTTCCTTACATTGTCTTGTACTCTCTTGTGTAAAACCTCTGCCAATTTTATTTTGATTACTCTGCTTTAAAGAAAGTGAGTTTTTCCTGGACCAGCTACTTGCCCAAAGTTCATACTGGCGAGGCACCAGGGCTATGCTCCTTATGAACTGAGAGTCTCATGTGTGAGTTTGTTTAGCCTTTGACTTCTCCTCCGTCAGTGGAGATGGGCAGCTGTGGTATCTCTAAGTAAAACCTTTCATCTGTCTCTTAAATTTTAAATTTTGGGTTTCCACAGAACAGACTGCTTCCTACAACTATGGCTTTCCTGTGTTGACTCCTTCCTTGTCTCTGCTGCTTCTTGGGACCAGACATAATCCGGGGACGCCATTCCCACTGTTGCAAGGTGTTTGGGTGGAATGTGCCCCTCATCCAGAAGTGTCTTTTGTGGGCTTTCTCTGTAATCTGCATACCTGGGCCAACGCTGTCTATCTCCTCACATAGCCATCTGGCCTTAATCTCTGTTGCTACTGGAAACCTTTTCACCTGGTTTGTAATTTGTAGTGTCAGCTCTTTCTTGATTTCATTGAAGATGGGATTTCTATTTTCATTCTTTTGTTCTTTTTACTGCGTTTGGGTGATTCCTAGGAGAAAAAGGAGGCAGTGCTGACTTTATAAAGGCTGCCATGTTTCAATAGGAGGTTCCTACCATCCCATTTTTTTCATTATCTGCTGCCTCACTTTCCTCACCTTCCACTTCCTATGTGGTCAGTTACTCTCCTGAAATTTCTCCTTTGAGGATCACACTGTGTTCAAGCCAAATTCTTAACCTCTGCAACATTTAAGTACTGCTGGTCACCCCCTTCCGTTTGAACTCCCTGTCCTTCGGCTGGATGGCATCGCACTAAGTGGGTTCTTCTGCTTTTCTGTCTAGTTCTCCTTTGTGTTTTATTGTCTATTTGTTTTCCTCTGTCCTAATTTTGGGTTTTTCTTAACTCGACCTCTTTCAGAGTCTTTTTTTAAATATGAAAGGTAAAACAACCAAGTTTTAATGGAATACGTCACTAGAGAATATCTTAGGGGCTGGCCCCATGGCTTAGTGGTTAAGTGCGCCGTGCTCCGCTGCTAGCGGCCTGGGTTCGGATCCCGGGTGCGCACTGACGCACCCCTTCTCCGGCCATGCTGAGGCCGCATCCCACATACAGCAACTAGAAGGATGTGCAGCTATGACATACAGCTATCTACTGGGGCTTTGGGGAAAAATAAATAAATAAATAAAATTAAAAAAAAAAAGAGAGAGACTATCTTAATAATTGGGGATGGGAAGCAATTCTTAAACAAGACACAAAAATCACTAACCATAGAGGATATGTGTGAGTAATTTGAATAAATTAAAATTCAGAAATTCTTTCCATCTAAAGATATCAGGAAGAGCATGAACAGGTTAGGCACAAGGTTGAGGAAGATTTTTGTAACTCAAAAGGGCTCTAATATGGAATTTATAAGGAACTATATATTCTATTATTTGTATGTCACTATTTGCTCTGTTATTGAATGACATTTGGATTATTTCGTGGTTTTGACAATTACAAAGATCACTGCTGTGAACATTCATACATTTTATACACACACACACACATCCTGGTGCACACGTGCCTGCATTTATAAAGGTTATACAGGAAGGGAATTTCTAGGAGTAGAATTTCTAGGACATAGGGTATTCATATTTTCAACTTGAGTAGATAATGCTAAGTTATTCTCCAAAGAAAATGAATAAACTGCAGCTACATGTTTCAACTTGGATAAGTTTACAAACAATATTCAGCAAAAAAAGCAACACTGAAAAAAATATACCATATGGTTTCATTTGTATACAATTAATTAACAGGCAAAAATTAAGCTGTATTGTTTAGGGATGGATATATAGGTGGTTAGCAAGAAGAAAGTAATAAAGAAAGAAACAAGAAGATGGCTACCACAGAAGTCAAAGTCATGAGGACTCCAGGGGAGAGGCGAGGTTGTGACAGGGCAGTGACACACAGGGGCCTCCCGAGGTGCTGGCCATATTCTGTGTCTTGATTTGTGTTTTGATTACACTGGAGTTCATTTTATAGTAATTTGTTAAAATGTACATTTATATTTCATGCATTTTTTTCCTATATATGTGATTTCACAATAAAAAGGTCTTAAAAAATGAAACGAGAATTGATTTAAATGAATACAATTTAAGATACCCTTCAGCAATTTTATTTTTCCTATTTCAGGTTAAATACAATAGAGGCAGGATTAAAAGAAACAAAGATAACGCTGGAAAGCTCTTCTTTTAACCTAAACTCATATCTGTGTCTTTTTATAAGATATGTCACCATGGTGCTCAAATAAAGTAATAAAGATGCCATTTTAGCAAAAACATAGGTTTTTGAAGTAATTCTCATTTTTTCTTTTCTGTGTTCTCAGCTGTAGTTTAAAAATTCTTTTTGGTTTTTCACATAATACCACTGGGAACAAAATCCAAAGTACTTTCCTCTGTTACATTTCCAGAATGGTGTCACCATCCTTAAGGACAGAAATGTGTCAATATGACAAGAATATATACCGTAGTTGGACTATTATCGTTAGTAGAAGAAATGCTTTGGAGATTTTCCCCGGGATTCTGACATGTTTATGGGGAAGATAAATAGGAAACTACTTAACAGCCTTGCATTTTCCTAGACTCTAAAGCAATAGGAGTAATGATATAGGACTAATATCACCGGAAAAAATGAAACCTATGCAATTTAAGTAACATTAAAATTCCGAGCATATTCTTACATCCGTAATAAATCTGCGTATATTATCATTGCTTTTTAACTCTAGAAATGGATCTAAATCTATTCTGGTCAACCTTAGTGACATCTCTTGGCATTCTTGTATCTCATACAAAAACCCCCATAAGGGACAGCGGGGCCACTTAGAAGTGAGTATGAATGTCGGTGACGCTCGTGTCTCGTCACGGTCCTTTCCAGTTGTGCTTTTGACTCTGAGCAGGCTACTGAAGAAGTCGGGGTCAGAGCTGTAGTTTTGTGCAGGGAACAGATTCCTTGATCAGCAACACAGTCTCTTCAGTTCTTTTGTCCCAAATTTGGCCCGTTTCCAGCGCTACCAGTCTGGGTTTCTAAGCCGTTTAACATTCCTGTAGTTCAGATGCAGCAGTTACCTAATTTCAACAACAGACATGAATTTTTTTCTCTCTGATCTCTTTGATGTTGATGAAGGAGTGAAACAGGAAAGTACAGTTCCGCCATTGCTAATGAATTTTTTCATCTGTGTGAATTTGGGTTAGAGACAAATGAGAGTAACTATTTTTAGGCTTATTGGAATTCCTCATCACTATTTCTTATCTTTCACTTTTAACTATATAATTCTGTTTTATTTTAATGCAGGTACAGCCTGACTATTTGGACTGGAAAAAATGATAACTATTCCCTTGAAGATTTACTTTGTATTAGAGACCATTTTGACAAAAAACAAGTTTTCTATGACATCTTGGAACCACAAAACCAGGAGTTTAAACGAGCCGTTGGAATCGAAGTTAATCTCTAAGAAGATTCTTCTAAATTATTTCATGTTTTGGTTTCATAACCCTTCTCTGCTTTGGTCTGAATTAATTACCATATAAGTTATGATGATTGATTTAGGCTCCAGTTCATCCAATCAAAAAACGCTTATTGAGTGCTTACTTGATTAGGCATATGTCCTTATAATCCTGTACTTAGCTAAAAGATTTGGAAAGAAGAGATTTCAGTGGGCCTCGTCTAATAATAATTTAGGGAAATGATGCTTTAAAACCCTTTATAAGAAATAATTTTGATATACTGAAGATAATTGAAAGAATCCATGTGTCATACATAATACAGGTATAAATCATATTTTGTTGGCATTTGCTTCAGAGATTCCACAGAAATATGGCACCCTCTTTCCTTTTTCCTCGAGAAATGGTTATTTCAGAGACTACAAAAGAGTAAGAGGGCTTTAAAATGTTTTTAACTTGCACAGGGGTGAGCAGGTTTCTCATAACAAAATCAAGTCCATTTACTGAAAACAATATAGATTAAATTAGATGGATCTAGAATTTCCATATTGTTGGGAGCATGCTGACAGCTACCTGTGTTTTTTGTATTCTTTTTTTCGATCATAGTATCTTATCTATTGTGAGCAAAATAGTGTTGGAGAGCAGAATTTTAATCCTGGTAATCTTATCATCTGATTTCTGTTTCTCACCAGTACCACCTTAGTCCAGGTCCTTGTACTACTAGAACTTCAAAAAGTAGTTCTTCATGACTCATTCCTCATACTGTACTCAGAGATACCCTATTTCTTTTTTTTTTTTTTTTTTGTGAGGAAGATCAGCCCTGAGCTAACATCCATGCCAAGCCTCCTCTTTTTGCTGAGGAAGACCAGCTCTGAGCTAACATCTATTGCCAATCCTCCCCCTTTTTCTCCCCAAAGCCCCAGTAGATAGTTGTATGTCATAGTTGCACATCCTTCTAGTTGCTGTATGTGGGACTCGGCCTCAGCATGGCCAGAGAAGCGATGCATCAGTGCGTGCCTGGGATCTGAACCCGGGCCGCCAGTAGCAGCACAAACACTTAACTGCTAAGCCATGGGGCCGGCCCCACCCTGATTATTTCTGCTGAAGAAACCTCCAGGGTCGTCTTAAACTCAACTTCATTGAATTTTACTCTTTCAAGACCCTTCATAATAAAGTCCCACTCTAAAAGTCAAGTCAGTGTCCTCCAGCACAGTCCACTTCAATGCCTACAACATCAGTGGTCTCTAGATCTTACTTTAACAGTTAACTTTATTTAATATTGTTCACTAATTGTGTCATACGTGTTAGTTCTGTCTCCTCTGCTAGATTATAAAATCCTTCATGGTGAGGGGACGTTCTTAACTGTCCTTTACGGTGGCTGGCATAGTCCTGAGCAAGGCATTCAGAAAAACATGTTGCTTCTTTGATTTATTGAAACATAGTTCACCAATGAATGTCATAAGATATGTAATTTGCCTTTTGTTTATCAACCATTTTCTCCCAGAGAATGAGGTAGTTCTATATAAAGAAGAGAGCTTGGGTTTTGAATTCAGACAGACTTCTCTCACAGCTCCACCTCTGTCCCTTACTAGCCACAGATTTTGGGAAATATTTAACCTCATTGAATCTTGGTTTCTTCTTCTATAAAAGAGGGAGTGGGTCGGGGATGAGGATTCTCATTTAGGGCTGTTATGAAGATTGAGGAATTCACGTAATGGAGGCATCTAGCCCAATGCTCACTACATGGCAAATGCTCAACAGATAAAATTAGTTCCCTTCTTTACACTTATCATGTGATCATATCCACTGTAGGTAGGTAGGTAGGTAGATAGATGGCAGTGAGAAATATAACATGAAACATCGTAGACATATAAATACTTAAAGACGTAGTTATATTTCCACTTTAAATTTTAGCTCCAACTGAATGCAGTGCTATTTATTTGTCAAGTACCACCTAAAACTTCACTTTCTGTGGTTATTTGCCAAAAGCAAAAGGTGCAATTTCATAATTATAAAATTCTAACAATTGTAACAAAGAATAACTAAAATTATAGTAAAAAATAATGTTTAATTTATAAATTTTCTAAAATGACCATGCTTTACTTTAAGAAAGTTGAATTTATAAATGAACTGCATTTTGAAGTTTGAAGTAAAATTTATTTTTCCAGAAGATTATTTTTACTACTTGATTGATTATCTGAGCATTGATAGTCTTTTTTAAAATATTAGCGTTGGGGGCCAGCCCGGTGGCGCAAGCAGTTAAGTGTGCACGCTCTGCTGCGGCGGCCCAGGGTTTGCTGGTTCGGATCCCGGGTGCGCACCGAAGCACCGCTTGTCAGGCCATGCTGTGGCAGCGTCCTATATAAAGTGGAGGAAGATGGGCATGGATGTTAGCCCAGGGCCGATCTTCCTCACACACACACAAAAATATTAGTCTTAAGGCAAAAATGTTTTATGTTGAGAAATTTATCAACTGAATGTCACTTAGATTAAGATTTAAAGGTATATTTTAAAGTGTTCTCAGGAACAAATATATAAAAGAATTATGAAATATGTTCTGTTGAAAAGTAAATTTTTAATGGATATCCGTATGGAAAAAAATAACCTTGATCCCTACTTCACACCATACACAAATAGTAATTTGAGTTGGATCTTAGGCCTAAGTGTGAAAGCTGAAACTATAAAGCGTTTAGAAGAGAATAAAGGAAAATGTTTTCATGACTTTGGCGTAGGCAATGATTTCTTTTTTTAAATCAGCTTTATTGAGGTATAATTGACATATAAGATTGTAAGACATTTCTAACCTCTCCCTATTTCCTCTACACCCCAAGGAAATGATTTCTGATAAAACAACACTAACTATAAAAGAAAAAAATCTATTAATGGGCTTTATCAAAATTTAAAATTTCTCATCAAAAGACACCATTTACACATATCTGACAATGAGTTCATACTCAGAATCTGTGAAGAACTCTTAAAAACTTATTTTTTTTGTTTTTCGGCTTTTTTTTGGTGAGGAAGATTAGCCCTGGGCTAACATGGTGCCCATCTTCCTCCACTTTATATGGGACGCCGCCACAGCATGGCTTGACAAGTGCTGCGATGGTGCGCGCCCAGGATCCGAACCTGCGAACCCCGGGCAGCAGAAGTGGAGCGCATGAACTTAACTGCTATTCCCCCCCGGGCTGGCCCCTTAAACTGATTTTTTAAAAGAAGCTAAACAACCCAATTAAAAATAGACAAAGACTTGGGGCCGGCCCCGTGGCTTAGCGGTTAAGTGCGCGCGCTCTGCTACTGGCAGCCCGGGTTCAGATCCCGGGCACGCACCGTTGCACCGTTTGTCCGGCCATGCTGAGGCCGCGTCCCACATACAGCAACCAGAAGGATGTGCAACTATGACATACAACTATCTACTGGAGCTTTGGGGGAAAAAAAAAAGGAGGAGGATTGCCCGGTCTTCCTCAGCAAAAGAGAGGAGGATGGCATGGATGTTAGCTCAGGGCTGATCTTCCTCACAAAAAAAAAAAAAAAAAAAAGACAAAGACTTAAACAGACGCTTAACAATTTGGTTATTAAATAATATTTTAAAGGATTTCATGTAAAAGAATGCAATACAGTACTATGTAGACACTGAAAGTCTACATTTATTAATATAGAAAAATGTTACAACATACTGCAGGCTGCAAAACAGATGTATGGTATCATACTATTTATGTAAAATTGTCTTTATGTGCATTTATATACCTAGGAAAATATTTGGAAAGAAATTCAGAGACTCAAAATAAGTAAATGGTTAAGTACCACCTATTTTTCCCCTCCCAGTTCTCGGGTCTAACATATTGGCATTGAGATCCCATAGCATCTGGGGACTATTCCCCAAGCCTGGCAGAGCAATCCTAGCCCTAGAAGAGACTTTGGTACAAATCCAATTGTTGAAAAAATCAGAGCTTTAAAAAGTACGGTAGCTTGTGGCCCTGTAGGAATGATGTAATTGCTAATTAGCCAGAAATGTACTCATTTATCCAGTGAGAAATTGTTAAAAGTTATTCAGAACAGATTGTTTATTTGCTTGTTTGTTGGAGCTAGGGTCTTGGATTTTTTCCTTGTAATTAAAAAAATTAAGTACCTAACGAATATATAGAAAAATGCTAGTTCTATCGCTTGGGAATGTAAGACGTGAGCCTACCTAGTAGGATAGGAGCCTACGATCTGCTTATAATCATAAATTCATGAATCAACACAAGGCGAATAGGTGAGTGTTCAAAAGAAAGATGAGGAGAGTAGTGCTAAAGAATGTCTTTATCTAGAAAATGGGAGTCGAATGAATACGTGAAACCAAGAAGAGCTGATAACCAGGTCTTGGAAGAAGTGGGGCGGGATTAGGAGCTCTTGGGACCTCAGCAGCAGCGCGTGGGTCTGGTCTAGTGTTCTGCGTCAGTGTTACTCATTCTTCTCTGAGACTGCCTCTCTTCTCTGTACGCACCATCTTTTGGTCCAGGGACCCTAATTTGTCCAGTGACTTGTGTCTTTCATGAGGGAGACGTGAAGGGACTCCAGGGCTCAGTAGGAACTCAGGGGGAGGGATGGGGCAGACATCTAATTGATGTCTGATGTGCTGAGGCTGTGCAAATAATTAAGAAATGATTCCTACCTCAAGGATAGTAGGGAGAGAGAGACCTGTAAACAGTAATTTGGATATAACTCCTGTGGTGAAACTAGTATACACGAGGTTGTGGTGAGATACAGCAGTCTAATTGTGAGAAGACACTTAAGTTGTGTCTTGAACGCTAGGATTCACCAGGTAGACTTAGAGAGGGAAGAGCCTTTCAGACAGAGGCGCATGAGCAAAGCAACGTGAAGTGGGAAAAAGCCTGATCTGACCTGCTCAAACAAGTCTGTGGAGGCGCTGTGCTGCGAGGCTGGACATTTAGGCGGGGGCCAGATTTGTCTTCTGAGCCAAGGAGGGCACTGCTATTCTCCTAGACCGTGGGAGCCAAGGCTTGTTAAGCAGGGAAGCGTTATCATCAGGTTTGAGTGTTAGAGAGGTGACTGCGGTGGCATGAGAAGGAGATGTGGCATTCTTGAAGTGAAGGGAGATGAAGTCCTGATTAAAGTGGTGGCGCAAGGGGAGGAAAGGCTGAGGGACAGAGGACAGGTTAAGAAGGAAGAGCTTGTCAGAGGTTTCAAACTAGTGAATGGGGAGTGTGGGTGAGAAGGAAGAGTCTAGCATTTGTATTTCGGGCTTGGGTAACAGGGGGTGCTACTGACCCAAACAGGCTAGGACAGAGGCCAGGTGTAGCCGTGTTTCTCAGTGATTTGTCGATATTGCTGCTTTATACCAACTTGGAAAGAAAAATGAAAACTCCGT